ATGACAGTGGTGGCAAGACACATTGTATGGGCGAGCCCGGTCTCATGAAAATGCGTATATACAGTATATACAGTGGGGCAAAAAAGTATTTAGTCAGCCACCAATTGTGCAAGTTCTCCCACTTAAAAAGATGAGAGAGGCCTGTAATTTTCATCATAGGTATACCTCAACTATGAGAGACAAAATGAGAAAAAAAATCCAGAAAATCACATTGTAGGATTTTTAAAGAATTAATTGGTAAATTCCTCGGTAAAATAAGTATTTGGTCACCTACAAACAAGCAAGATTTCTGGCTCTCACAGACCTGTAACAACTTCTTTAAGAGGCTCCTCTGTCCTCCACTCCTTACCTGTATTAATGGCATCTGTTTGAACTCATTATCAGTATAAAAGACACCTGTCCAAAACCTCAAACAGTCACACTCCAAACCCCACCATGGCCAAGACCAAAGAGCTCTATATGGGCAAACTACAGTGGGTTAATAATACTTGAGACTGGCCAATGCAATAGAGAGTAACAGATGAATAAGACCAATACCTGCCTGTTCTTACTGGTGTACAAATTCAGATAAAGTTTTATGCCTACTCCTGCACAGGAAGCTTGGAGAATCACAGGAAGGAAGCAGTTATGTTTAACTAAATCTTTCAAAACAAAAAGAAAAGAAAATGCTGCAATGTACTTATGAAACAACTCCCATGAAAGCACTACCAGCTCAGACTGCTTCAGTGAAGTACTGGCAAGTCAAAACCAATCAATTACTGGTGCCAAGCTGAGGACTCAGGTTCAATAAGAGTTTAGATCTTAAAATTACATTCAGCCAAGTTCTGCCCCCTGAGTTAAGGTCTGGGCACACTTGCTGAATAGTGTTTCCCACTATTTTTACAGGTTCTCTGTAACAACAGAATAATTTCACAAAGAGTAACACAGAAAAAATGAGACTCCAGAGTAATCTGACAATACCTCCCTAATATGCTGAACACAATTACATGTTAATATTCCACACCTTTGACTGAGACATTAGAAAAAAAACCTGCATTGATAAATAATACTTTTAATATCAGTAAGAAATATTACTTTAGATGGAGATATTTGTAATATAGAAAAAACTTAACATAAAAAATATATATATTTAAAAATATTTGTAAAAAAAATCAGGACATTTGACATATTCATGTATCCCACTTGACATGCTACTCTTTTTCTGCATTTGTGTTTTCAAGAGATAAAATGTAAAAAAAAAAAAAAAAATTTAAACATTTACTTCTACTATAATCTACAATAAAAAGTAATTTAAAGATCATGTGAACTTATTTATTAAAAGAAGATATTTAGCAGAATGTCCTTGAAACTGTGTAATGTTCCTGGTCCTCACCCACTTTCATTGTAAGCAAAAAGTGCAGCTTCCTTTTGTGTTCCATGCAAAAATAAAAGCCAAAGCCCCATGGGTTTGAACAACAGGAGAGTAAGTAAAATGATCAGAAGGACAGAAATTACTATTTTAATTTTGGTTGAGCTTTCTCTTCAATATTTATAAAATTCAATAACTTTTTAGATTAATTTAAACTCAGGTGAAACAACCAAGTAAAGTGAATGAGGTATCCACTAACAAAGTAGCCATTGACTGTTTGCTAAGAGAATCTGTTTTTCAAGTGCCCTGTTATTAGCAGCAGTATGCATTTTATTAGTGAGCACACACACAGAATAAGAATGAAGTCACTTTTCAGGTTTATGCTTCTCATTTCCAACTTGTGTTTGACTGTCACTTAGTCACAAGAGAAATGTTAAAGTGCCAGACAAATACACACACTGCCTACATTACCAAATAGCGGCTCCATCCTGCCAGCTATGACAAGCCAAGGAATTCTACATCAATGCTACACTCCCCCCATAACACACACCCTGCCCTGCCTTGGCCTGCAGTAATGTGAATCACCTCCACACATACACACACCTGTAGGGCATGTGGTACTGACTAGCAGATTTGTTGTGTTCCAACACAGCCAGCCAGTCTGCCAAGCCCAAGATACACACTGAGGATATGAGTCAGAGCACACACACACAAACTAAATAAGTGACTTTCATACACTAGGTGTGGTTTGAAATACTTGAAATACATCATAAATCCATAAAAATCAGATGCTGCTATATAAATTGCACAATTCAGTTAAGCAAGGTTGCAAAATGTTGGTGATGTGAGGTTTGCTAATAAGCAACAGTCTGTCTTCCTTAAACTGTTATTCTGATAACCAAAAGTATGATGTTTTGTTTCTGTGGTAGTCTTGCTTACTCATCAAACATGGCATGGTGTATTGTTGGCTTTTGTATGATCAACAGCATGTGGTGTTCTGCTGCTTTGGATTAAAGAATGTGCTAAATAACTAAATGCAAATGTAAATCTAACACATCAATGTCACACTAAAACTCTACATCAGTCACTTGCACAACTGGTAGACTCACTCTCTGCAGGACAAACATGAGGTCAATCCTGGGAGTCTCTCTCCCGTGCTGCCAGGGTTGATGGCAGTAGGAGGTTCAGGAATGAGTTACAGGCTTCTGCACGCATTCTTTCACTATAGTGTGCTAGGCTTGAAATTTCTAATGCGTGTCTGATGCTGCCAAGGCAACATGGGTGTGTTTTTTAGTGAACCAAATTGTCATTACCGAGAATTCAATCAAATGTGTTCTAGAAACTCTTTCGTCTACGTATCTCAAATAACCTTAAGTACTAAGGATCCCACCTACAATCTAATCCTTGCAGTGTTTGAGGTCAAAGAGGTTTAAAATTAAAGGACGAAGGAGACCAGACATATCCAGCGAGGAAGAAGGAGACCAGACATCTCTAATGAGCTCCATGAAGCTAAATATGAATGCAGAGGTTATTTCCAAGTAATGAGCACTGTTGAAAAAACAGCATATGCTGGTTAGGTATGTTTTGACGCTGAGATGCTGGTTTAAGCTGGTCATTTGCTGGTTTTTGCTGGTCCTTTGCTGGTTTTTGCTGGTCCTTTGCTGGTTTAAGCTGCTCCTTTGCTGGTTTATGCTGGTCCTTTGCTGGTTTTTGCTGGTAGGACGAAGGAGACCAGACATATCCAGCGAGGAAGAAGGAGACCAGACATCTCTAATGAGCTCCATGAAGCTAAATATGCATGCAGAGGTTATTTCCAAGTAATGAGCACTGTTGAAAAAAACAGCATATGCTGGTTAGGTATGTTTTGACGCTGGGATGCTGGTTTAAGATGGTCCTTTGCTCGTTTATGCTGGTCCTTTGCTGGTTTTTGCTGGTTTTTGCTGGTTTAAGCTGGTCCTTTGCTGGTTTATGCTGGTCCTTTGCTGGTTTATGCTGGTCCTTTGCTGGTTTATGCTGGTCATTTTGCTGGTTTATGCTGGTCATGTGCTGGTAAAGGACCAGCATAAACCAGCATAAACCAGCAAAAGGACCAGCAAAAACCAGCATATGCTGTTTTTTTCAACAGGCTGGGTGGATAAAGTCATGCCCTGAAAATACATAAAAGATCATTCTCCCAGAGTCATTACTTAATCTCCCTCATATTGTTCCAAATTCGCATTACTTAACATTTTGAATAGGCCATCTTTTCCATGGAATTACAACAGTGTCAACCCTCAAAAGCACAAAAAGCTGACCAAAAAGTGTCATAAAAGTGACTACAGGACCCTTTTGCTGTTTTTTTCAACAGGCTGGGTGGATAAAGTCATGCCCTGAAAATACATAAAAGATAATTCTCCCAGAGTCATTACTTAATCTCCCTCATATTGTTCCAAATTCGCATTACTTAACATTTTGAATAGGCCATCTTTTCCATGGAATTACAACAGTGTCAACCCTCAAAAGCACAAAAAGCTGACCAAAAAGTGTCATAAAAGTGACTACAGGACCCTTTGTGCTATTTTCCATGTGATAGAGCTTTCCTAGGAAACAAACTCAAATTAATGGCATTATTTGCTAATAATCTTCAACATATAACAAATCGCTTTGAATCATTCAGACCCTGAATTAGACCTAGAGATTCGTTTAAAACATCCAACTAATGTGAATTGTTCACATTGCTACTTCTCTCGTGAACGAGTTAGGGAGGGGAGGATGTTAAAGTTATCAGCGAATAATAAATTAAATTTCAGTCTTTTTGTTTACATAATCACTGTCCAGCTTTCCTAGGAAACAAACTCAAATGAATGGCATTATTTGCTAATAATCTTCAACATATAGCAAATCGCGAGAAACAAATCGCTTTGAATCATTCAGACCCTGAATTAGACCTAGAGATTCGTTTAAAACATCCAACTAATGTGAATTGTTCACATTGCTACTTCTCTCGTGAACGAGTTAGGGAGGGGAGGATGTTAAAGTTATCAGCGAATAATAAATTAAATTTCAGTCTTTTTGTTTACATAATCACTGTCGTGCTGTTTGGAGTATAGCGCGCGAACACGCTGCGATACTATTTTGGTGATGCTGCGCCTTTTTTTGAAAGTTATCTTCAGTCAACATTGTAATTGCATGGAAAAGTCATTCTTTGAAACTTCTCCGTTTGTTTTCCGCAGAATAAAGATATCATATGGGTTAAAAAAGACATGAGGATGAGTAAATTATGACAAGAGTTTTCATTTTTGGTTGAACTAATTCTTTAAGGGTCACATTATCTAATGCACTTGCTTGGATGTGGTGCAGACGTGCAGTGCATGGGGGCGCATATGTCGCTTAAGTTAAATGTAAGGTCAGGTGTGGATTTCCTATCAGGAAAACATTAATATGTACATAGGATTTACATTGGTGTAGCCTATACTGCCAAACAGAATCCAGCTATATACCATTAGATGTAGCCTAGTTTATATCACAAAAAATGCCCTACAACCAAAATGTTCAAAAACAAATAATGTTTGACGACCAAAGTACCTAGATTCAACCTGCTGCAAATATGAAATAAGCTCCACAAGAAAGCCACGATTACCTGGACTCCACAGAGGATAAAATAAAGGCTTACATTATTTTATCAGCTGGTCTGAGTTGTCGGTGCAAGGCAAGGGAGAAACCGAACAAGCCGTTGGCATCACCCGTTTTCCTGATAACATAGTCTGTGTCCAGGTTGAAGGCAGAGATCAGCGTCCATCCCAGCAAACTGAGAAGCGGTAAAGTCAATGTCCTGTAAGATCCCATAACGCTGTTAGGTTGAGTTCGTGTCGGGTTCGTGCTTTAGAGATGAGACTGCAACCCGCTTCTGTTGGGGTTGTGGGTGTTTATAAGAGAGGAATTATGTCCCTCCTCCACCCTCGATCGACCCTTCCTCTACCTACCGGCACTAATAACGTTTTTTTGTTTAGTTTTTTAGTCTCATTCATTTCTCTAACCTATGATAAGCCTACCAGTTGGTTTGTGGGTAAAACTGTTTTTACAGAATGAGAGTTTTCTACATCAAAGCCTAAAGCAAGGGAAGACCAGGGAGAAACACATTCTGTAATAGGCTACATGCCTGTAACTGTTCGTATTTTTCTAAAATCACATTCCTATATTTATTTGCTTATATTTTCTCTAATTTACCAGTTAATATAAATCTACTAAATAAATGTATAAATCTACCCTAAAGTGTGCAAGTTAGTGTAAAAGTACAAAGAGTGCTGTTGTTACATGAATGTACTGTAGTAAATTTACCTTATAGCCTATTTTAATAAAATATTTATTAGATTTAATAAAATATGTAGTATTAAATTGTAGGGCTACACTAATTTAACAGCTAAGATAAACATTGTTATAAACATTTAAGTTATTTTTTATGTTTTACTCATAATTGTTTTTTGCCCTTTTTCCCCCATTTTTTTTCACACAGAGACTTGCTGTAATCTCATATGTGAACAGTGTAGTTCATCCTAACTCATCCTATGTTATACCACTTCCCTTTCTTACAGCAGCATTACCAATTAAAATTTGCTTAACTACATCAGGTTATTGTTGTTAACAGTGAACCACACAAGCATTACACCTTTGTCGCTCTGTTTATCTCTTTGTCTTTGAGCATGAATTCTCAGATGTGCAAATTAACACAGACATCACAGCCGCTAATCTCTGGTTTATTAGACTCCCTGTGTTTTACACAATTTGGTTGAACCTGGCTAAAAGCCTCGTAGGTACTGGCCTAGATCTGTTTTTAATTGGGACATTGAAACAAAATAGGCATTGTAATTAACCATAAGACTAAAACTATGATCTTGCTTAATGCTACCAAGGGATTGGGTATGTGGGGGAGGGGGAAGTACACAAAAGGAATTAAAGACAAAGGTCCAATAGCCTAATAAACAAAACTGACATTTGAAACGGAGTAACGCATTGTCCTGTTAATACTGTTACTGAATCAACTGTCACACATAACATTTTCAGAACATCACTTCATCAAATTGTCACAGTAAACCTGATGTAAAAACTTGGTGAATTGGACAAAAAGAACACAGTCACATGAACTTTATTGAGAATGACCACTAAAAAGATCAAGTTAGATGAACTTTAACCTCTGTGTACTCTCCTCTCAGAAAAACGTGTAAAAAATGGCAAGACATAGATTTAATCCTATTTGATACATTTTTCAGTTATATTAATAACATTATTTGGTCTAAAAAAAAAGCACAGCCTGCACAAGTCAGGCCCTTCTGATTATTTTTATAGCCTAGTAAATTACATCTGGGATGGTAACATTAAGGTTGTTGGTTTAGGTGCTGCAAGGAGTAACACATGAAGCCACTTTTCATGTGGGAAACTCACCCAAATTTAAAAATGAACACCAAATTTCTTTCATCATTTACTCAACTACATGTCATTCCAAACCTGCATGCATTCTTTCTTCTGTGGAACACAAAATATTTCAAAAATGTCTTTTTGTATTCAGCTGAATCCAGTGTTGTTTTGGCTCCCACTGATTTTCATTGTATGGAGAAAAACGTGTAAAAAATGGCAAGACAGAGATTTAATCCTATTTGATACATTTTTCAGTTATATTAATAACAGTATTTGGTCTAAAAAAAAGCACAGCCTGCACAAGTCAGGCCCTTCTGATTATTTTTATAGCCTAGTAAATTACATCTGGGATGGTAACATTAAGGTTGTTGGTTTAGGTGCTGCAAGGAGTAACACATGAAGCCACTTTTCATGTGGGAAACTCACCCAAATTTAAAAATGAACACCAAATTTCTTTCATCATTTACTCAACTACATGTCATTCCAAACCTGCATGCATTCTTTCTTCTGTGGAACACAAAATATTTCAAAAATGTCTTTTTGTATTCAGCTGAATCCAGTGTTGTTTTGGCTCCCACTGATTTTCATTGTATGGATAAAAACAGTTGAAACATGCTTCAGAATGTCTAGTGAGTAAATGATGACAGACATATCATTTTTGGGTGAACTACCCCTTTATGCATTGGTTGCTCTACTTTAAACCTAGTAGCTCATAAATACTGAATCTTTACTGGAAGATTCAGTTCAAGGTCAAAAAAGTGTATGGATGAATTGTTCGCAATACGATCAATAACGTGCATTTTTTTATGCAAGTAAGGAATGTGACAATATTTACAAGTGCCAAATACAAGATCACTTGGGCAAACAAACATATATCCAGATAGCTAACATTTCAAGGACATTCTGATAACTCCTGTATATGTATTCTTGTGATTGTGAGCATGTGTGTGTGTGTGTGTGTGTGTGTGTGTGCATGTCATTGTATGTAAGTGTGTGGGAGGAAGCATACATATCATTGAGTATCTAAAATATTTATAACAGATATAACAAGTATAACTACAAAAAAAAAAAATGAAGGGAAAAAAAATAGAATATGACATGACCAGTGGAGACAACAAGTATTGTAAGCGATAATGATGACAAAGATAACTATAACAACAATAATAATAATCCAAAGCTACGGAAGTTCTAAGCGGCCATGCATTATTATTTTTTCCCCCTTCTTGTTTTCTCGTTATAACGACATATTTTCTCGTTATATCGACATGTAATTTACCATTTTTGTGAAAATATTGATAATTTTGAAGGTTTCTTGTAGTGAGTTATGAGGATCCTGTAAGCATAATAGTAAGTCATCTGCATAAAGACAGATTTTATGTTGTGTGCTAATATCTTGTATTCCTTGAATTTTATTGTTTTGTCATATTGCTATTACAAGAGGTTCTATAAAAATGGCAAATAATGATGGTGAAAGTGGGCATCCTTGTCTGGTCCCCCGGTGAAGTGTGAAGCTTTGTGATGTGACCCCGTTTGTGATTACTGTGGCCCTAGGTGAAGTGTATAATATTTGTATCCAATTGATGAACGACTCTCCAAAACCAAATCTGCGTAGTGTTGAATAAAAATGTCCAGTTAACTTGTCAAATGCCTTTTCAGCATCTAGTGATAACAGTTTGGGTTTGTTTTTGTTGGGCAAGATTAATTAAATGAAATCTACGGGTGTTATCTGAAGCACTTCTGTGTTTAATAAATCCTGTTTGATCATGGTGGATTAACATTGGGATAACCGTTTCTATTCTAGTAGTTAATGCTTTG